GGACCGACCAATCAGAGCACACTGGGGCGTAAGGGGGGGGGGGGAGCTGCAGCGAGCCGTTTAGTGGAGAGAGTGAATACTGCTGAATACACATACTTTACAGAGATGATGTATGAGAAACCAATGTGAGTTTGGAAAATTGCACAGTATAAATCTATTCTAGTAGACCTCAACAATGGAATTATGATCAGTGGAGATGGCCATGACAGCTCTCCTTTAATGTTCAAAAAGGTGTCGTAATACTGACCGGTTTCTTCAGATCGAAGCTCTTCGTCAGAGCGATGATCATAGCGCTGCGACCGAACGTTTCCTTCTCCTTCAGATCTTTCTTCCACCAGGCGTCACAAAGTCTGAGGATGTGGAGCTGCAGCGGAGCCTCGGAGACCGGCTGCAGTTCCAACAGATCTGAGAGAAACACACAGATATATGAACTGTTGGGGAATTCCTGAATGTCCTCCTCCAACATGAGAGCAACATGCTAACAAAGGTATCAACTGTAGCTGTGAACATGACAGGATGTGTGATTACCTAGAAGAGCATCAGGACTGTTTGAGGCATATGATAGCTATGTGATTAACATGATGATTCAGCCTCTATGGAGAGAGACATATGACAAGCATGCTCATTTCTGACGTGGAGCTAATCTGAAGTAAACATTGAATACTGCTTTCTATCCCTCCATCTTGTGACTGTGGAACTCCCTCTCTTGGATATCAGCATGTGAAGGACACTGTTCAGGAACTAGTTGATGCTCTGTATGTGATGACTACTTCCATTCTGGAGAGGATCACAGATACATGGATCCTGAGGTTCAAGCTCAAGACGGAGACCAGTGATTATTAACATTTTTAAGTATTCAGAAAAAGTCAGAATTTTAAGATTTTGAGAAAAAGTGAGGATTTTTCAGAAAAAGTCAGTATTTTGATATTTTGAGAAAAAAGTGAGAGTTTTGAAGGAAAAGTGAGAATTTTGATATTTTGAGGAAAAAGTAAGAATTTTGAGGACAAAGTGAGAATTTTGATATTTTAAGGAAAAAAAATGAGAAAAAAGTGAGAATTTTGAGGACAAAGTGAGAATTTTGATATTTTGAGGAAAAAGTGAAAAAATTTGAGGACAAAGTGAGAATTTTGAGAAAAAGTGAGAATTTTGATATTTTGAGGGAAAAAAATTGAGAAAAAATTGAGAATTTAGAAATTTTGAGGAAAAAGTGAAAATCTTGAGAAAAAGTCAGAAATGTGAGATTTTGAGAAAAACAGAATTTTAAGATTTTGAGAAAAGAATTGAGAAAAAAAGTCAGGATTTTGAGAAAAGCCAAGAAATACTGTATGTGATGACTACTTCCATTGTTGAGAGGATAATGCGTACATGGATGCTGAGGCTGAAGCTCAAGACTTCGAACATAAACCACAAAACAACAATCCAGCTGAAGACAGGAGGGGGATTAAAGAGGACCCTTACCATGCAGCCTGTGGATGATTTCCAGAAGAGAACTGTAGGTTTCTCCGTCCTGCAGGACCTTTAGGGACTCAGCAGCAACCAGAGTCACACCGTCCACTACAGACCTCACATGATTCTGCAAGAACAGGGGAGAAACCTGGATGTTAACCAAGTTTCTAGGAACCAAAACGCTGAGTAACGCTGAACCTCAGAGCTCAAAAAAGCAGCAGAACATCTGATTTTAATGCAATGCGAGTTCATGCGAGAACATAAACGGTGCAAAAACTCCAGTGAACTCACAGGGTCTGCAGCTGCCTCCACCTCCATGGCCTCTTCTCTCCTTTCCTCTTTCCTTTCCTCCCTCCCTTCCTCTCTCCTCCCCTCTTCTCCCCTTTCCTCCTGCAGGACGTCCTGGAGGAGAGAGGACAGTTTCCCCCACAGCGTCTGCCTCTGGTCTCTGTTCATCTCCTGCAGAACTTCCTCCACATCGAAGGGCTCCGTCTTGTTCTTCTGCTCAGAAAATCAGAATCAAAATCAGAATTACTTTAATTATCCCAGAGGAAAAGTGGCTTTTATGACAGTTATTCAATTGTAATAAATATAATAGCGACACTCAGATGAACGAGACACTAAACACTAGATCTGTGGCTAGAATAGGACTTTCTTATTCCTCGTAGTAGATAGCTTAAAACAGTACATTTGATCCACTTTTGAAAAACTATGTATTGAGTAAAATACACATTGAAATAGCTGCTAGATTGTGTTTTATTTACTTATTTGGGTCTTTTGATCACTTAACTAACTTCGGGCTCTATATATGTAATGTTAGCGTATAATATACATAGACAATTAATTAAACAACAATATTTGCAGAAACTCTTCACAAATTGTCTCTGTACTCTTCACAACTTGCATTTAGTTTCCAGTTTAGATGCAGTCATGTAGCCCTGCAGGTTATACGTTAGCAAAACAGTAAAAACCTTCATGTATTAATGAGTATTTCTGTCATTTGTGGCTTTAGTTAATTGTGCAATTTTCTAAATAGTTAGCATGACAGTGGATTTTACCATATCAGCATGTCATGTCTATTTATAGTAATTGTGAGTGTTAAAATAAATGCAGTGGATTAAAAAGCACGACATTCACATTTGAAATGTAGTGGAGTAGAAGTACTAAGTAGCATTAAATGTAATAATCAAGTACAGTTCAGTACTTGAGTAAATGAACTTAGTATTATACAAGTATGACATTAACGTCCGGGACCTTTCTGATGTAGTTTATATGGAGGTTATATGAAGTTACTCACATGAAGCTGAATAAAGCGGAGGAAATCGTCCACATTCTCCGTACAGCAGGACTCTAGAAAAGCCTCTCGCTTCGACATGTTTGTGGTTCTCCAAAAGACGTGAAACAAAACCAATATTCCTGCAATAAACACACAGAAGAGCAGCTAAATGCTAACGAAACTAGCATCACAACACCAGCGACAGAATCAAAACAAACGGCTCAGTTAGAATTCAGCGTTAAAATACTTATTTTTACATGGCTTTATAAGACTCTAATCGTTATTGCTTATGTTAAAGTGTATTACGATTATTACAAAGTATGACATATGATCCAAAAGCGTATACAATTACCTTTTTATTAATAATTCTGTGATCCGACAGCCGCTGAACGACAGCCTGCCATAAGAGCCCGCGCAAATTCGGATAAAACGCGTCATGACTTCTACGTAAACGTTGACGCTGTGACGCTGACGTAAATTCTAGTTCTTCGTCCTCTTCTGTAGTTCTTGTTCTTTTGATGGTTTTTAGAGGCGGTTTGCATCCAAACGTTGCATGGCCGCCTCCTCCTGGATAAATAATTAACTACCTTTTCCAACAAAAACTATTATAACTAAGGGTAAATACTAATGAAGGGAAATTCATTAAACATAATTAAGCTAAACTATTTTACAACTATTATCTCGAACGAGTATAGCTAGGCTGCAGTCGAATAGTCAAAAAAACAGCCCCTAGTCTATTCCTTGACCTCTGTGTGAAACCTCACGAGGTTAAGGAATAGTGGATAGGAGAATTGTATTTATGATGCGCCAGAAAAGGACTACCATAAGCGCATCATTAATAAGCGCTGTTATTGTGTTGTTTTATGCTCATGTGCAACAGCGAAAAATATGTTGTTCATTAAGGTTGAAATTAAAACAAATAAGTAAAGTGAAAGAAAATCCTAGTCAGTGAGGGCCCTAGGTAAACATTCACTGGGGGCCCCTCGAACCAGCTTTTCATCGACACACACAGCCGACAGCACCCACCCCCCCACATCAGCGTCCTCCACACCTAAATGACAATGATTATTTCCTTTTATAAGTATATTAATGGCTTTCTTACATCATTCATTGTTTTTAATATGCAATCATTCCCCATAAATACATGTTAGTAATGCACGTTATTGTGTCTCTTGTGGTGCAGGTTGCCATGCTTGGATTGTTGCTACTCGTGCTGCAGCAGCATGTTCCAGTTTGAAGCAACTACGCTCCATCTTTTTCATTTATGTTCACCCCGTTATGTTGTATTTTTGTCATGTTTATTTGTACATACGACACCTATTGCACGTTTGTCCGTCCTGGGAGAGGGATCCCTGCTCT